TGGGGAGGGTGAGTGGCGGTTGTTAGTGGTGATTAGTGAGGGGTGAGTGGTGAGGGTGAGCGTGAGTGGTGAGGTTGAGTGGTGAGCAGTGAGGGTGAGTGGTGATTGGTGAGGGTGTGATTGGGGAGGATGAGTGGTGAGGGTGAGTAGTGAGGGTGAGTGGTTGTTGTGAGGGTGAGTGGTTGTTGTGAGGGTGCGTGGTGAGGGTGAGTGGTAAGAGTGAGTGGTGAGGGTGAGTGACGGTTGTGAGAGGTGATTAGTGAGTGGTGAGGGTGAGTGGTGAGGGTTGGTGGTGAGGGTGAGTGGCGGTTGTGAGTGGTGATTAGTGAGGGGTGAGTGGTGAGGGTGAGCGTGAGTGGTGAGGGTGAGTGGTGAGGGTGAGCGGTGAGGGTGAGCAGTGAGGGTGAGTGGTGATTGGTGAGGATGTGATTGGTGAGGATGAGTGGTGAGTGGTCAGGGTGAGTGGTGAGCGGTGAGGGTGAGTGTTGAGGGTGAGTGGTGAGCGGTGAGGGTGAGTGTTGAGGGTGAGTGGTGAGTAGTGAGGGTGAGTGGTGAGCGTGACTGATGAGTGGTGAGGATGAGTGGTGAGGGAGAGTGCTGAGGGAAAGTGGTGAGGGTGAATGGTGAGGGTGAGTGGTGAGGGTGAATGGTGAGGGTGAGTGGTGAGGGTGAGTGGTGATTGGTGAGGGTGAGTGGTGAGGGTGAGTGGGGAGGGTGAGTGGCAGTTGTGAGTGGTGATTAGTGAGAGGTGAGTGGTGAGGGTGAGCGTGAGTGGTGAGGGTGAGGTTGAGTGGTGAACGGTGAGGGTGAGCAGTGAGGGTGAGTGGTGATTGGTGAGGGTGCGATTGGTGAGGATGAGTAGTGAGGGTGAGTGGTTTATGTGAGGGTGAGTGGTGAGGGTGAGTGATGAGGGTGAGTGGCAAGTGGTGAGGGTGGGTGGTGATTGGTGATGGTGTGATTGGTGAGGATTAGTGGTGAGTGGTGAGGGTGAGTAGTGAGGGTGAGTGCTGAGCGGTGAGGGTGAGTGGTTGTTGTGAGGGTGAGTGGTGAGAGTGAGTGGTGAGGGTGAGTGGTGATTGTTGAGGGTGTGATTGGTGAGGATGAGTGGTGAGTAGTGAGAGTGAGTGGTGACGGTGAGTGGTGAGGGTGAGTGTTGAGGGTGAGTGGTGAGGGTGAGTGGCGGTTATGAGTGGTGATTAGTGAGGGGTGAGTGGTGAGGGTGAGCGTGAGTGGTGAGGGTGAGCAGTGCGGGTGAGTGGTGATTGGTGAGGGTGTGATTGGTGAGAATGAGTGGTGAGTGGTCAGGGTGAGTGGTGAGGGTGAGTGGTTGTTGTGAGGGTGAGTGGTGAGGATGAGTGGTGAGGGTGAGTGGCGGTTGTGAGTGGTGATGGGTGAGTGGTGAGCGGTGAGGGGTGAGTGGTGAGGGTGAGTGGTGAGGGTGAGTGGTGAGGGTGAGTGCTGAGTGGTGAGGGTGAGTGGTGAGAGAGTGGTTAGTTTTGAGGGTGAGTGGTGAGGGTGAGTGGCGGTTGTTAGTGGTGATTAGTGAGGGGTGAGTGTGAGCGTGAGTGGTGAGGTTGAGTGGTGAGCAGTGAGGGTGAGTGGTGATTGGTGAGGGTGTGATTGGGGAGGATGAGTGGTGAGGGTGAGTAGTGAGGGTGAGTGGTTGTTGTGAGGGCGAGTGGTTGTTGTGAGGGTGCGTGGTGAGGGTGAGTGGTAAGAGTGAGTGGTGAGGGTGAGTGACGGTTGTGAGAGGTGATTAGTGAGTGGTGAGGGTGAGTGGTGAGGGTTGGTGGTGAGGGTGAGTGGCGGTTGTGAGTGGTGATTAGTGAGGGGTGAGTGGTGAGGGTGAGCGTGAGTGGTGAGGGTGAGTGGTGAGCGGTGAGCAGTGAGGGTGAGTGGTGATTGGTGAGGATGTGATTGGTGAGGATGAGTGGTGAGGGAGAGTGCTGAGGGAAAGTGGTGAGGGTGAATGGTGAGGGTGAGTGGTGAGGGTGAATGGTGAGGGTGAGTGGTGAGGGTGAGTGGTGATTGGTGAGGGTGAGTGGTGAGGGTGAGTGGGGAGGGTGAGTGGCAGTTGTGAGTGGTGATTAGTGAGAGGTGAGTGGTGAGGGTGAGCGTGAGTGGTGAGGGTGAGGTTGAGTGGTGAGCGGTGAGGGTGAGCAGTGAGGGTGAGTGGTGATTGGTGAGGGTGAGATTGGTGAGGATGAGTAGTGAGGGTGAGTGGTTTATGTGAGGGTGAGTGGTGAGGGTGAGTGATGAGGGTGAGTGGCAAGTGGTGAGGGTGGGTGGTGATTGGTGATGGTGTGATTGGTGAGGATTAGTGGTGAGTGGTGAGGGTGAGTAGTGAGGGTGAGTGCTGAGCGGTGAGGGTGTGGTTGTTGTGAGGGTGAGTGGTGAGAGTGAGTGGTGAGGGTGAGTGGTGAGGGTGAGTGGTGATTGTTGAGGGTGTGATTGGTGAGGATGAGTGGTGAGTAGTGAGGGTGAAGTTGAGTGGTGAGGGTGAGTGGTGGTTGTGACGGTGAGTGGTGAGGGTGAGTGGTGAGGGTGAGTGGTGAGGCTGAATGGGGAGGGTGAATGGTGAGAGTGAGTGGTGAGTGGTGAGGGAGAGTGGTGAGTGAGAGTGGTGAGGGTTAGTGGTGAGGGTTAGTGGTGAGGGTGAGTGGTGATTGGTGAGTGGTGAGGGTGAGTGGTGAGGGTGAGTGGTGAGGGTGAGTGGTGAGGGAGATTGGTGAGGGAGGTTGGTGAGTGGTGAGTTGTGAGGGTGAATGGTGAATAGTGAGTGGGAGTGGTGAGTGGTGAGGATGAGTGGTGAGGGTGAGTTGTGAGTGGTGAATGGTGAGGGTGAATGATGAGTACAGTCAATATGCACTGCTGTTATCATACCAGGTACCACCACCACAATATGTACTCCTCTCATCATAGCAGATACCACCACAGCAGTATGCACTGCTGTAATCATAGCAGGTTCCACCACAATATGCACTGTTGTCATCATAACAGGTACCAACACAGCAGTATGCACTGCTGTAGTGATAGCAGGTACGACCTCAGTCGGTATACACTGCTGTAGTGATAGTAGATACTGCTATCGAGTTGGTAGATACCGCTATAGTAAATACTAAAACAGTCAGTATATACCACTACAGTCAGTCAATACTGCTACAGTCAGTATATACTACTATACAGTCAGTACATACTGCTACGGTGAGTAGCTACTAGAGTCAGTAGATACTATTATAGAGTGAGTAGATACTGCTATAGATTTTGTAGTTACTACTATAGTCAGTGGATACACTATAGAGTCAGCAGATACTATACAGTTAGTCGTTACGAGTATATAGTCGGTAGATACTACTGTAGGCCCAGTAAATACTACTATGGTCAGTAGTTATTACAGTCACTAAATACTACTACACAGTCAGTAGCTACACATGGCTCAGTAGATACTACGGTACAGTCAGTAGATACTACTACAGAGTCAATAGATACCACTTCCTCTGTTGTATGTAAGGTGTTGTTAGTATATATACCTACGAGGGGTAAAGATATTTTTTGAGGGGGGGGGAGACCACAATTTTCGGAAACATTTTTGACATCAACTATTTACCCCACACTTTCTACAACTTTTTGGACTTGTGAAAGCCTCTTATATATTTGTTGGTGGAAAAATGTACAAACAGCCCACCGGGCTTTGACAATACCTTAGTATCTGTGTATATATATGTAAGGTTTTTAAGAAAGATATTTTTCACCCGGGCAAAGCCGGGTACTTCCGCTAGTTTACTATAAACCGCAGACGTTTACACGTAATTGAAATGGGGGAACATAAGGTATTTAGTTGCTTTGTTTTAACAGCGCCTAAAATCAGCAGATGTGTATTGTATCATTCGTATTTAAGCGCGACACACGATTGACATATATGGGCCCGAGCAATTTGCGTTTGCGACACACAATATGACTATGCCACCGCGGCTTGTGCAGGTTCATGGTACTGCTGACTTGTTGTCCAGCAGGGATCAATCAGAGGAGGGTTTTTTTCCATTGCTTTGTTTTAGTTCATTTTAAAAGCAGAGCATTTCTGCCAGTTTTCAGTCGCGGTGCTAATTGGCCGACGGGATTCAGAGGGAGGCACGCGGCAGCTGAGTTTTGTTGAAAAACATTTCGTTCCGTGCAACTTTTTTTTTGCTGTTGTTACATTTTTCACACACAAACCCGTTTAAGCAGCTGCCACCCTCCCAGCCGGGCCTGTTAACGGACGCGTGGAAAGTTTGGCCATCGATGGTGGTTGCTGGTCCATGGTTGTGCCTTACGTTTATCCCTTTCAATTTATGCAATCCTTGTAAAATGATAACAACGAAATTGACAAGAGATAGAGATGGTGCGAGGTAAGAGAAATTGAGACAAATACAGGGTATCCTCTATTTACGAACATTCGACTTACGAACTTTTAGAGATACGAACAAACCTGGTCTGTATGTCCAGTTGCCTGTTCGGACCGAGATTCGTAAGTTCAACTGTCGCGCAATAGATGGCGGTGGTGGCATCTACATCTGCAGAACGTGAAGAACCAGTTGCATCTGCATCTACAGGAGATTATACAACATTTAAAGCCATTCCCCGTGTTTCGTGTACATGCCGTACAACTTGTTTGAAATCGACAGGAGTAAAGTTGGACTTCGACTTACGAACAGACATCTGGAACCTAACTCGTTCGTAAGTAGAGCAGTCCCTGTAGACTGTAGAGGTATAGTGAGATGGGAGAGAGGTAGACAAGATAGATATGAGAGATATGGATTTAGCATATGTTTATTATGATTAGAAATTAAGATGATGTTTAATCCACCATTGCCTGTTTTGTTTAATGGATCCGGGATCTCCTTGAGCTGCTTGGGGACCCTGAGCATCTCCTCGGGTTTGTTCTACGTCCCAGCGCCACCACTGTCGTCTGTTCCCGGCCCCCCCCCGCCCCTCGTTTTGTGTCTCACTTTGGGGCGAATTAGACTGCCGGACGCGCGGACAGTTCAACGCCATCTCCAACCACTTTCGGAGCAAACGCTCGCCGGAGTTCAGCTACCCGGGGGAGAGACCAGCGGACCGGCTCGAGGAGCAGGAAACGAGCGAAGGGTGAGTCGCCTACAACCGAGTTGTGGCACCGGGGCGGGGGACATACACGTCGTCACGGTCAATGTTTAACGAACTTTACACAAATATTATACGCTAAGTAGAATCAAGCCTCGTGTTTTTTTCTCGGTGATGGTCTGGCCCTTTTCTTGTTTGAGTTGAGAAAACGCGTGCATGGGAGGAGAGGAGAGCGCCAAACGCTGTGACGTCCAGATATTTGCACGTAACCTATGCGCCGGATGTTATGGCGAGAATCCCTGGGCGGGTGGCTGCTCCTGCCATTGCCACTGAGCCCGGGGCATCCGCAGACATCGTTTCATGAGCTCAAAACCAGTTCATGGTTTTCTCGTTTAATAAACAAATACTACTGGGAAGAGTGAACCAGGCACACCGCCTAGAACAAAGTTTACACGTGTGACTGGGAAACATCAATTGGAAGTTCCCACGTTGCCATTGAGCGAAATGTGATAGGATTACAATGTTCATTTCCATGTAGAAATTATACAAATTGCCCTTGCCTACTGCTGTTTTGATTAAATCCTTTATATTAAGTTCACTTGCTTGCTTGCTTGCGCGCTTACGACCGTGCAAATCTTTCGGTCGTTTGTTAACCCACTTCCCGTGATCCAATCGAGCTGACATTTTGCACACAGACTCGTTGTGCGTGACAATTTATTTGCGTGAAAATTTTTTTCCAAAATTTTACACTTTTTAGGAATTTTTTAAAAATGTTTAATTACCAATTGCTTAATGGTGGTAGGCAATCATCTGACCCATAGGTGGCAGCCATCTCAAGCCAGAGAGGACTCTAGCCGCCCGTTTCAAAGACCAATGTGGGCTGGGTTGTGGCCCATTGAACACGCATATAAAGGATTTATAGTGAAAAACTTTTGTTTTTACGGGTTAATTTTTTTTCTCTCCCCCGGCGGCGTGGCATGCTGGTGATGGGCCCCTGCGTACCGTGCGCACCACCTCGCCGTCTCCCAGCCCCTCCCGGCAGCACAATGTCACGCAGCGCACACAGGAGCGGGAAGAGGATCCGAGTCTGCAGGAGCTCCGCGCCGTCGTGTCGGCCCTGCAGCGCACGGTGGAGCAGCTGCGCTCGCAGGTGAGGGTCGTCGTCTGAGGTTTCGCTCCCTCCAGCCCCCCGGCTCCACCACGATTACCAATGCCCCGGGGGAGGTGGAAAGAACTTTCCTTACTGAAGGCCGAATCATCATCATTATCATCATCATCATCATCACCATCATCATCATTATCATCATCACCATCATCACCATCATCATCATCGTCATCATCATCATCATCATCACCATCATCATCATCACCATCATCATCATCACCATCACCATCATCATCAGTCATGGTCATTCCACAGCTGTGTGAAGGCCTCCCCAAGCCGCCGCCTCTCATGATCCTGTGAGGTACTAATCCACCTCGCACCTGCACGTGAACTGATTGAGGACTCAAGAGCGAACGCAGTCTGGCCTGCTCTCGCTCACCTCAAACAGCACATGCGGCACAACGCGCACGCCTCCACACATTCCTGTAGTTCATGGGGCGTGTAAAGGAGTTCCAGCCCAGGTGAGTCTTGAACTCCGTCTCTTTTACGTCTTCCGCACAGCGCGTCACACGTGAAGGAATCACTCCGTTCAGGTGCTCCAAACCCTCCGTCCATCCCTCCTTTTATTCCCTTCCCTATCCTTTTCGGGAACTTTCCATGACTCTCCACCAATCCCCGAACGGTCTCCTGACCGACCCCTCTTTTCCATTTAGTTTTCCCTGTTGACCATCCCGATTTGAATGTCCTCCACTTTCAAATCCTATTGTGTGCCCTACGTCGGCTCCCCCTGTCTTGGCTCCTCGCCAATGAGAGTCGAGCACGCCATTCGAACTCACAAGCCATTAGACTTGGTGAGTGTATATTTATTTCCAGATAGGGGTTTGCCTCTCGCCATCCCTTACAAGTGGATAAACAATGATAATACAGTCATACAAACTGGCGTCATTTTGCATTGTGGTCGTTTCCTATACTGGCGTGTTTTTTGTGCAACAGAGATTCATTTCTCGTGGAATATTTCCCAGCCCCCCCCCCTCCCCCCACAACGCCGCATACCCCTGGACCCTGACAGTGGGGGGTTGGGGCAGAAATATTTTCTGTAGCTCGGCCCCGTACAGCTCCGGCTGTAATGCAGTTCTGTTGCGCACTGCAGGTCAGTGGTTTGGAGCAGGCGCTGCACAAGGGCGGCCGATGTAAGAACGCGGACGGGAAGGAGCGAGCGCATCAGGAGACCTGGCACAGGGATGCCTGCAGCGAATGCCACTGTGAGGTACGGACACTCGCCTTTAACTCGCCTTCATCGTGACCTTGTTTAAAGGGGGGTGCGGGAGGGGCATACCAAAACTCAGGTGGGGGCGTGGTATTGATACGATACGATTGTGTCTGTTGTGCCTTCCGCTTGCACTCGCATCCCTTTGAATATGCAGAAAGGCTGAAAGTCAACCGCCGCTGGTGTTATTTTTTGCACCAACATTTTATTGACTTGACGAGGGCTGAGCCTTCAGCAGGCGGGCTCAGCCCCCTCTAACCCCACCGCCCTCGATGCCACAGGGCGGACGAGGACACACTCTGCACCTTCAGTATCGCCTGCCACTGGAACCGTTATTCCTCCAATGGGTTAACTCACGCCTACGACCAAATCACCGTGAATGCCACTGACCCCGCACCTCCGATTAGCACAGTTGGCTAACGTACGGTGCGAAAGAAGTTCAACATATATGCATGATCTCTTCCGATCTCGGAAACGAGCAGAGTGGATTGGGAATTGTGCTTTGATGGGTGACCACCATTCACTACGGCAGGTGTTATGAGCTATACACTCCTGGCCTGGGTGGCAGACAGCAGAGGGTAGTGCAGCAGATTCCATTATTGTGCTGTACTTATAGGCTTCCATGCCTATGCTCCCTCTTGCCTTTAACCCGCACTGACCAGCATTTGGTTAAGTATTTTGTTTTGCAAAGGGGCTGTATATGTACTGCACATGGCCGGGCTAGTTAATCCATAGCACAAATGCTGTTGACTTCTCGCACATTGGTACTAAATTGTATTGACCTCAGAGGGATGATGGGCTTAGCTGACCGAGGCTGGGATTTGAACTTGTAACTTTTTCAAATGTAAGCCACATGCTCTATCCATCATCCCCTGAGCTACCCAGCCAGATATTTATTCCACCCCTGGATAAAATCCAAGGACCTCACACATGTTCTGATTCGGCAACACTGACAAACTTTATCTCCCCTCAGTGACCCAGCCATCTCATTTAGAAAATGTGAATCAATTGTTTGGATGGAATCTCAGCGAGAACAAGACTGGATCGTCTTCTTGGTTCTTTCGGTAAAGTCACGTAGAAGGGAAGTAATAAAATAATAAAAATAAAACATAATAAAACAATTCTTACGACGTTTCGGCCACAACGCAAGCAGCCGTCCTTGAGGACGGCTGCTCGTGAGAATTGTTTTATTATGTTTTATTTTTATTATTTTATTACTTCCCTTATACGTGACTTTACCGAAAGAACCAAGAAGATGAATCCCTGCAGTCACGAAAGCTTTAAATCGAAATTTAAGACTGGATCGGGTCAGAAATGAAGGGATGAGGAAGAAGGCAATAGTGGTGGTTACCAGTCTCAGGCAAGCTGAAAGAAAGGCGATTTCCGATGGCGAGGGTTTTTTTTTGTCATAACAAGAGAGGAAATCCACACTCGTGTGGAACAGGAGACACTTGAAGGGATCTCAGCGGTAGATCTATGACGTCCACTTCCGTGGCCCGTTCTCGACAACGAAGCGTGGCACGGCACTGCGAGAGAGGTCTCGGCGAACGCTTCCTCTCTTGACTTGACACCGGCGGCGCGGTTGGGATAAAATTGAGGAGAGAAAAAAATAGATTTCACATCAGTTTATTCATGCTCAGGAATTTGATCGCAAGTTACGAGGCGCACAGTGGGGATGTGACTGTATAAGATGCACAGAACAGAAGCACGTGGAAAAATAAAATCCAAACAGCCGACCCCATGTAATAATGGGATTTTAAAACGTCACTTCCTGTCACCTGTATGAGATATAAGCTGCATCAATGTTGTCCTTTCCCGCTGGCCTCCATGTTTGTTGTCCTTCCCCTGCACCTCCGAATAGCGCGGTTGGATACGTACAATGCGAAATAAGTTCAAGGTACATACGTACGTGTGATGCGTTTTGTTTTTGTTCTGGGGTTCCAGAGTGGCGAGGTGGTCTGCCACGTGGAGAGGTGTCCTCCCATCAACTGCCCTTCTCCAGAGCGTCTGGAAGGAAGCTGCTGCCCCATCTGTGTAGAACAGGCAGCTCCCGGAGAAGGTGACAGAAGGGTGGATGTAGCGTAAGGGAGAGGGGCGGCTGGTCTCTCTGTTTCTTTAAAAAACAACACTGCCCTGCTTCTCCCCTCCATCCTCATCCTGCTCCATCCCCCAAAGCACTGCCCTAAAAAACTGCCTCTGCTGTGAATGTACTGTGCACACTCCATTTGGTCCATTTAGCAATGCTGCGTTAGCCTCCGTTTAATTAAGCAAGAACATTATTCAGCATCGGCTAATCCACGCGCGGTGTATCAACATCTTTCCAAAACAATGCATTGCATTGCCAGTTCTTTCTCAAGTTTACAAGAATCACTCTCCCCCTGTCACATTAAATGCATTCCAGCAGACTGCTGCTTAATCGTTAAGCGGCAATTGCAGCAGACAAACAACAATCACATGAAAACACACGTTGGACTGGACCGGCTGCTCGATTCAATTGGCGTGTACCGCAACAACAAAAAAAACCGCCGCTAAATGTGCCCAGGAATGGCGAGTCGCACACAATGTGCTGGAACAACACAGCACGTTGCTCATACGCCAGGCGTGACATCATCTCCTGCCAGAAGAGAAACAAAAAATCCCGCAGCGAGTGCAATCAGTTGAAACGTTTATAAGTTTCTCGGCTCGGAGAATTAGCCACGACGAAGTGTATCGAGTTAGCTCGTGGGGGTCGATAATACATTTCAGGACCGCTGGCATCATTAGCCTGGCGAGTATATGTTGCTTGCTAGCGCGCATACAATGCGCTGCTCGTCATAAACACAAAACGCATTGCCAGGCTCCATTCGCAGGTCGCGACACGTGCTCTCGCTTTTACGCATTAGTAAGTCGAACGTGCAGCAGCGGCCAAACATCGTCACAGAGTACGCGTATAACAGGTACAGTATTCCTTACTCAAAGTATTCCAGTGTGGAACTGTTATGATGGAAAATACTTGACGGAGTAAAGTCGATTACTTTTCTTTCAAATGTGAAATATTGCTGTTTTCAATAGATTACAGATGCCATAATAGCCCTCGCCAAATTGTATTTGTATGGTTATGCATTTAAAGCAAACAAGGTGTCCTTGTGGTGGCGGTTTCATGTATTTTTTTTAAATATGCTAGTTTTCCAGAACATCTAGCTTTAGAAAAGTTATGCAAGAGGCATACGTGGAAGGGGTTCCCTTTAAAAATGCAACTTTCCCTATGAATGTCTCCATCGTAACTGTGATGGGCTGGTGCTTGACACATTTCATATTTTGCCAAAATATTTCCTGAATCTGTGGCTCTCCGTAGCTCGATGTGCCAGAGTAAATCGATTTCCGTGACCCAGTATTTGACGTTTTTTTTAGTTCAGTGTTCTTCACACATTTTCAGATGGGGGCCCCTTCAGTGTGAGGGCCGTCACAAATTTGAAACCATTGGGGTTTGACAGCACGATGATGGGAGGGGGGGGGGGGGTGTTTTCACATGTTGTGTATTGTCGGGGGCCGCACGTCAGGGCCCACACTAAAGGCCACGAGGGCCGCCAGTGGCCCGTGGGCCTTGCAATGGAGAACACTGGTTTAGTTGGTTGCAATGCTAAACGATGCGCAGTAGATATTGAGACATGCAGCAATGTATTCTTCTCATGCATTTATGGACATTATACACTCGTCTAAGTAGCAGTATAAATGGGTTGGCGCCATGTGAAGCTGCAATGAATTCCTGCGTTGTAAAATGAAATCCAAAGAGAGTAAAATAGCTCGTCAATGTGTTTTTGGGTTGTACCGCGCATTGCTCGGCACGATGTCAGGCATTCCACTCCACGTGCTGGGAACTTGTTCAGGGGATCCCGGTCTCTGTAAATGCCAGTCATCCACCTTCGATGAGCACGTTTGGCCAAGTACGGTGCGATCGTACGTACAACCTGAAGACACGTCACACAGCTGAACGGTGCAAAAGCCGATGCGGTTGTACGATTGCAACCCAGTAAACGTGCAACGTTGGATCAACGTTGGCATGTGATTCCATTCGCATACCAACTTTGGTCCAACATTGAAAATTTTTCTTGGAATGTGTTATACTTTTGCAATATCTTAAAAAAACTAGCCCTGTGGCTTGTCGTGAGCCCAGCCAATGCAGGTTGTTTCATAGTTCCCGAGTATTAGTCGCCACTGAAAGGCACGTTATTCATCACTGCTGACTTTTTGAATGAACACATGGATTGTAGTGGCTTGTTGTGCGAATTCGAGGCGGTCAAAAAAGTGCCAAAACACTGCCGTAATTGTTTTAATATATGTAAAATATGACAGAACAACCGAACAAAACGAATCAATAAATCACATTTGTGTATTTTGAGTTAGCACATGATATAGTTGGCTTCCTTTGTTTCATGAATAAACATTTTGTAAGAATATTGTGATTATTCTGTTTTCTTTCTTTTGTGCCGGAATATATTCGGTGAGAAATTAAACCCTGCCTGTAATCCTCAACTACGGTCCTTGTATAGTAAGATATAGGAATTGTAATAACCACAATACTTGCGGTCAAAATTCAAACAAAAAACACACCCTGATAATAAATGCATTTTCCATGAAACTGATTGGTCCACACCAGAGACAGCTTTCTTTTGAGCCTCGTCTCAATTGGTGCTCGACCAGATGACGCCAAAAGGCGTACAGCTCAAAGACAATGCACTATCCGAGTAATGAGGGCTCGGGGTAAGCATCTACATCATTAGACCTCCTTTGCCAGTACCAAAAGAAAGTTGTCTCTGGTGTGGACCAATCAGTTTCAAGGACAGTGCATATATTATCAAGAGTGTGTTTTTTGTTTGCATTTTGACTGCAAGTATTGTGGTTAATGCAGACATGAATCCTCGTAAAACGGTTTCAGTTTTGTTGCCAGAAAAAAGTGGAAAACTATTATTATAATAACTCTTGCTTCTTAAGCTGCAACGAACTAACGTGGTTTTACACTTTAGGGCTTCTCCTGTTGTAACATAAACCAGAGCTGGCTTACGTAAACGCAACTGACAGTAATATATTTCCCCCATTATTCTCTGCGTAAAAGTGTGCACCAGATATAGCAACTTATCACGGCAAGAGTGTTCTGGCAAACGGCATCCTTGCTCCCAAGTGCAGGGTGGATCATCTCTACTCTTGAGCAAAGCAAAGCTCTCATTCTTCCTCTTCACAGCGTTGACTTATCGGTCATTTGCGCCACGGATGCAGCTGTGCCACTTGTAACGATGTCATGCCACCAAGACAGCCGATTTAAAATGTACGTAAGATGCCTTTCAGGAGCAGTGTCGACCCAGCCTGGGACGTCATCTGCAGCTTTTGCCAAGCCTGCCTATGTGCAAACTCATATTCCAAGGCGAGTTAGACTAACAGGGAACTCAAGAACAGCCTCACACGGTGGCATCACTGCATGGCAGACTTCAAGCTGTTAGCTTTTATATTGCTCATTTCCCCTCTGGAAATCTACGAGGCTTTAGTTTTCGTGGACAATCCAATAGAAATGTGATGCATTTGGTTGCCACCTATCTTGGTTTTACCTCGACAAATATATATTTTGAAGTCCTTCAATATTAATACGATTTACCAGGATATTCACATTCTTTTGTCAGTTGTGTAATGATATAGCACTCAAGATGATGCATAGACATGCAGTTCTCCCCTTCTTCCGCTATTATGAAATATTCCCATGATATGATCCCATTTTATGTACCTTTGAAGTGGCAACCCTAGGCCCAAAGCCTGTTTCCATGAAGATTGCTGATGCAGCCATTACCATTATTACGTATTGAATAATGAGCAAAGAGCCATCGCAGCAGCTACTGCTGCTGCTATCACACCCTGCCACAGCTTCCCACGCCTTCGATAAGCGCGGTTGGCTACGTACGGTGTGAAAGAAGTTAAACGTACATGCACACTTACATCTGCCAGATGCTGCAAACTGTTGCACAGTGGACACCTAGTTACTTTGGGCTACAGGTACTTCCTCTGGTCGCCGATCTATGGGTGTTCGCTCAACTAATAAATGAGACATGACGGGAAGTTTGGTGCTGTCAATGGCTATTTGTTAATCCGGCCATGGCTTTAACAGGCAAGGCAGCTTCCTCCTATAGCCACAGATGGTGCTGATGATTAAGACTGCGCTTGTAACTAGGAATGAAATGTGGCAATGAGGTAACGTTTTCAAGAAGCAGCAGCTAAGGCAATGAAAGAGTGAATACCATGGACATGCTGCTCAAAGCTTTAGACTTTAATCGGTCAGTGGCTTTACAATGCAACACACTCATTCTAGCAGGTAGCAACTTATCCTAGACGGTATAATAGTCGTCCTTTTCATCAATCGCAGCTGCCGAGCCAAAGAAATGTGGCAATTTGCCTCTTCTGTTTCATGTTAAGCCTTTAATTTGAGTCCAGATGAAGCCTTTAATGTGACCAACGAGTCGATGGGCTCCTCCTTTGTTCCATGGTATCTTTACCAGAAGTTCATTACAAGTCCACTCAGCTCAGAAATGAATACTGTACATGGTATGCCTAAAGAGGTACCTGCTTTTGCTCAACTAGATTTTTGAGGCTCAATGTTGGAATGTCAAATGAGAGGGTTGTTTCTTTTATTCTCCCACATTGGTTTATACAGAGAATTAAACAAATACGTTCATCCGACTGCCCAGATTGCATTTAAGGGAAATGCCCAACTATCTGATCGGCGCCGCATGATAGAGAAACGTAGCAGCACAATGCAGATTGGGAAGCCTTGTCAGTTGAACCTATGGCAAGCGCGTCACGTCGATTAGATTTCATTAAAACCACGTGCGCTCCACTCGTGTTGTCTCGTGCCAGAGAATAATGTAAAACACGATTGTATCCTCTCTCAAAAGCCACACGTTCTATGTGCAAATATGTAATAAAGCACCCGTAAGGCCTTCTGAAATATACGCAATGGAGAGATATATGCTGTGTATATGGAAAGGTGATTTCGACATCAAAAGACCGGTAATCTCACAAGCAGTTATATAGGGCTGTGCGGCATGTTTTTGTATTTTATATATACACATTAAATGTTAAATATATGGTCGAACAAGTTTTGACCAGCAGGCTATAAAAAATAACCTACCATTACTTTATGCACTAACCCATCATTGTAAGGATTGATCAGTTATTACATGCATAGCACGTACAGACGGGTCCTCAGATTTTAACCCTTTGGGTTTTTGGGCCTTCTTAGTTTATTGTCTTGTTTTTAAAAACATTTTTATATCTTAATTTTTTCTCCTCCTATATTCGCATGTACGTAACGTATATATTGTCTCAATGCGTGCCATTTTTTCTGCTCCTGCTGCTGGAATAGTCAGGGTGACTTTGCAAAACCACGTTGAACACACGTGTAACGAGCTGCCTAAAAAGCGGCTCGTTTTTTTCTGGTTGTTAATGCCCGCTTTTCCTCAAAGGGGGAAACACAATCTGGTTAGTATTATCTTGAACACATTGCGTAATTAGATTTCCCGCAAGGGGTAATGCATATTCCCAAGACAATTTATGTCAGTTTCACCGACGTGGCATGAGTTTACCTTTAAACAAGTTCCATGGGTTTGTAAAATATTAATGTACGTCATTTTTTAAGCTCTCTCCCCCCCCCCCCCCCCATGCCGTTACATGGGATATGTTGTTTGCGAAGGTTTACGGCTGCGATCCATAAACGCCTGTTATTGAAACAAACGAGAACATTTAACACCGCATCAAAAGCCTGACGCCCGCATCATTTCTCTGCGCCACTTTGCGCCCTCGACTAATTTGTGCGTCGTGGGCCTTGCCTCGTTCTCGGTGAGGTCACTTTGTGATAGCGCCGTGATAATTGTCTCGGGTTCTTGGGGTTAAGTGCGATCGTCTGTGACTGTGGCCTCTCGTGGCCAGAGCCCAGATGACCAGCCACAGGCAAGGCCAGATGAAGAAAGTCTTTACCAAAGTTGGGGGGGAGGGGGGCGGAGGAGTGGGGGAGTTTCACTCAAATTATGGTATTTGGCCTCTTGACTAAAGGCGGAATTCCAGATCGTCGAATGTCTAAAAGGGGAACCGACGGCAGTTCAATGACCACACACACACACATCAGTGACCACACGCATCTGCCTCTGAACACAGTTACTTCATGCGAACTGCATTCTGGGCGTTGTCAAACTCCGTGCCAGTATTTTCCTGTGCAACAGCGCAAAGGCTCGTGTTGTTACTGTAGGTCACCATGACTTTCAATTTTAATGAGTGTGTCCCTTGTTGGCTGAATTTTTAAGGATTACATTCTATTCAGGCATCCTTTTGCACCATTATAATATTGTCATTAATTTGTTAACATATGTTTGTCTTTTCTGCCTTTATAGCTTGAGAGGCAAGAATGGTTCGAGGTGGAGCAGTTGACCAAACATATGCAAACATTTGCCTTTTCAACATGCAAGTCTGTTTTTTGAGAGGGCATGACCTGACCTGGTCGAATGGACAAAAAACATTTAAAGGGGCGATTGGTTGTCTGTGATTTGTTGCAAGAGAAGCATATTATTCAAATCATCATCATCATCATTAATGATGATTTTCCAATTAGTTAATTACAAAATTATTGTTTTCATCGTTATCATTATTACACTTCTATTCATGAAATTAAAATGTTTGTCCTATTCACGATGTTTGTGTTTGTTTTCACCTCCAATTAGCACGGTTGGCAACGTACGGGAGCGAAAGGAGTTCAACATACATCACATACGTGTAATCCACATTTACCGTCACAATCAAAAGTAATCTGGTATGAGTACCTTGTGTACACGATCGCCTTCCTGTACTGCTCAGGTTGCTGCCGAAACTAGTCACACTTATTTTATAAAGTTCATTCATCGACATGTATTTAAGAAGACAAGATCTCACTGAGGTACGCACACCTCTCTTGTACAAGTTTAAAAAAAAATATTTTCGTATAATTTTGTAAGCATGTATTTTTTTATTGTTTGTCAAGAACCCAGAATGCAGTTGGAACATGAAAAGGATGGAGGGGAAATATGTAACGGACAACAGGCCAGACATAATGCACCTTGGTTCTTTCGGTAAAGTCACGTAGAAGGGAAATAATAAAATAATAAAAGTAAAACATAGTAAAATACAATTCTCACGACGTTTCGGCCACAACGCAAGCAGCCGTCCTCAGGTGAAGAACAGGTCTGTCTTTCCGACTTTACCGAAAGAACCAAGAAGATGAATCCCTGCAGTCACGAAAGCTTTAAATCGAAACATAATGCACCTTCATAATTAGGGAACGGATGAGGGCATCCGGGCTCCCGTCTATTTTTATAAAGGTAGTCGATTTTGTGCAATAACATGAGCATTAATATAATTGCGAGATTTCATCGCAAACCTTCAATTCT